CCTTGAGGCAAGGTGACTCTAATCATAATACACTAAAGGAAAGAGACTTCATTGCTGGTTGACAGGATGGATGAGTGGTCGGATAACACCATCATAGTTCACTTTTAGATTATTTGATACATGGTTTGTGCTAAGGTGTGTGAGTGACTAAATGAGTGAATAAATAAATTTTCGTCCGTGAATAAAGCACAATGAAAGAAGAGTTTTGATAAAAGAAGAAATAAAAGACTAGGGGTCAAAGTGGTGGCTCCTTTCATCTGCCCTCTTTTCTCTCTTTTCAATTTCCTTAGCCTTGGTTGTTCCAAATGCAATTAAAAACAAACAATTAAAGGTGGTTCTTTGATTTCAACAGACAAAAAAATAGAGTTTCAGGATCACAAGTGCAAATAGTTGCTTGGGTAAGTATCTGCCATCTGTTTGGTGACTCCTCCGTCCCAAGTCCCTTAATCCATCTGGTACAAAAATATACTGTCTTTGCTTTTTATCCTGATTGAAGTGTGATTTGCGAGTGATTACCCAGATATTTAGCAATGATGCCATCATGAGACCCTGACACTATCATTCCTAGGCATGATTCCTTTCCATCCAAACTGGCACGGGGCCCATGTGATCATGGTTACCTGAGTTGTGGCGGCAGCTTGAATCGGTTACGCACATCGTCGAAGCGGTTGCCCAGGTAAGGGGTGTCCACAGTCACAAATATGGCCTTGTAGCCCATCCGCTCAGCCCTCCGCACCAGCTGCTTGGTGACCTCACGGTCCTTGTATATATACAGTTGCAGCCAGCGAAGGGCCTCGGGACCAGCCTCTGCCACTTCTTCAATGGAGGACGTGGCCCAGGTGCTCAGCATCATGCCAGTGCCCAAGGAATGACAGGCTGAGAAAGAAAGAAGACTGTCAACGCAGGCCTGGCATTGCTCTGCCTCCCCGGCCTTCAGGTTGCAGGTCAGAAGGCAAAAACTCCAAGGGCAACTTGGCAATAAGAAGTTAAATCTTTAAAAAATTAGAAATAGGCGTTCCTTTGCACACTCTGTGTTTTGCTCCTAAAAGAAAAAATGAGTCAAAAAGGCAAAGATAATGGCCCACCTCACAAAATCTCAAAACTGCAGGTGCTGGCATGGATGTGGAGAGAAGGGAACACTTTTACACTGCTGGTGGGACTGCAAACTAATACAACCTTTTTGGAAGGAAATATGGGGAAACCTCAAAGGACTCAAGTTAGACCTCCCATTTGATCCTACAATCCCATTACTGGGCATCCACCCAGAAGGAAAAAAAAATCCTTTTATCCTAAGGACACTTGCACTAGACTGTTTATCACAGCTCAATTTACAATTGCTAAAATGTGGGAACAGCCTAAATGCCCCCAACCCAGGAATGGATTCATGGATTCCAATATATATATATATATATATATATATATATGCCACAAGCTGTGGTTATATGTATACCATGAAATACTATTCAGCCATTAAAAAATAATGGAGACTTTACAGCCTTTATATTAACCTGGATGGAAGTGGAACACATTATTCTTAGTAAAGTATCACAAGAATGGAGAAGCATGAATCCTATGTATTCAATTCTGATATGAGGACAATTAATGACACAGTGAGGGGTGGAGGAAGGGGAGAGCAGAGAGAGAGAGAAGGAGGGAGGGGGTGGGGTCTCAGTGTGTGCCACACCTTTAGGGGGCAAGGCACAATTGTAAGAGGGACTTTACCTAACAAATGCAATCAGTGTAACCTGGTTTCTTGACCCCTCAATGAATCCCCAACAATTTAAAAAAAAAAAAGGCAAAGATATGTGCACAGGCTTAATCTCCCTCTCTCTCTCTCTCTCTCTCTTTAGCTCTTCTCCAAAATGGAATATGTATACCCTTTAAAGGTAATATGATTGTGATGGCTAATTTTGCCTGTCAACTTGGCTAGGCTGTGGTGCCTAGGTGTTTGCTCAAACACATCTGGATGTTGCTGTGGAGATACTTTGTAGATGAGATTAACATTTAAATCAGAAGACTTAGAGTAAATCAGATTTCCAGCATAATGTCCATGGGCCTCATCCAATGGGCTGAAGGCCTGAAGACTAAGACTGGCCTTGCCTGAGGAAGGTGAAGAGGGGATTATGCCAGCAGACAAAGTTCAAACTGGAGCTGCAACACCAACTCTGCCCTGGGACTCCGGCCTGCATGCCTCTGTGCAGAGTTTGAACTTTCCAGCCTTTGTGATGTATGAAGCTACTTCCCGAAAATAAATACCTACCTATCTCTGGACCAATAGATACAGATACAGATGTATGTATGTCTCTCTCTCTCTGTCTGGATGAATACTGAGCTGTATACACATATATTGAGAGACAGAGAGATCTTATTGGTTCTTTTTCTCTGTAAAACCCTATTACAATTATAAAAGAATATTTATAAATGTACAAACATATAATGATATTTAAGATATAAAGCTATACTAAGGAAAGAGAAAAGACTTTAAAATGACATGTATAACATGATTCCACATTTGTACCAATGTAATTATGGTATACCACATATGAATCTAAAAAAACTCTATGCTAAGAATGAATGGGTGAATTATAGGTAATTTTACGATTTTATTCCTTTTTAATTATTTTATTTTATTAAAGATATATTCTACCCCTTATGTGGTCTTTCATAATTTTATAAAATTATAAAATTTAATTATAAAATATCTTTAAAATATATATTAATTTTAAATTTAAATTTTTAAATACATTTTTGAAATATTAATAATATTAAATATTTTTT